TATATATATATCATAATTCACCTTTTGCTTTCAATATTTTATGCCGATCTTTATTCTTTGACATATATCAATAAATTTAGATAAATATAAAATTAAAAAAATAAAAATAAAAAAGAACTTCCTAGTACTTTAGTAAACATTTTCATAATTTGTGCCTTTATATACGGTGTCTTAGAACTTGAACCATCCAGAAGAAATATATGCACATTTGTCTCTGAATAATTAAAGACAAATTTTCAGACATAGTATTTATTTATTTATTTATTTATTATTTTTATCATTGACTTGATCACACATGAAGTGACATGCGTTGGAAAAAAAATAATAATAATAATTTGCCAGATTAGTCCAAAATATTAAAGTAGGTAACTAGTAATTCTTTTGGTTGAGTTATGGATAAAAAGTTAAAACACAAAAAACTTTTAATTATAATAAAATGACCATATGAAATTTTATTATTTAATTAAAATTAATAAATATTTTTTTTTGTTGATTTTAATGGTTGTTGGAAGATTACAAGCAAAGTTTTTTTAAACAGTTTCGTTTTGTTGGATAAATTTATTCTTTATATAAACGATATGGAACAACTCACAAGTGAATATTTTAATACGCCCCTCACTTGTGATTCTTTAATAAGAAAGTTAAAACCCATATACCAAGCTAGATGCCCAAGCCCTACTAAAAACATGCTGCCATAAACGGATACGTGGGGAAAAACGTTATCGCACGGTTCCAATGAAACCGACTCTGATATCATTTCCAATCCCTACTAGAAACGGGCTCCCGTAAACAGGTACGTGAGGAAAAATGAGTACGTCATCGCATTGTCCCAATAGAACCGTTTCGGATACAATGTAAGAAACGGGGGAAAAAACGAGTGTGGTCTTACGCAGCTGAAGCGCACCAAAGCAAGGAAAGCCTAGATGAAGCCCAAATAGGATTCCATCCAAAAATCAATTGATGAAAAGAGGAGTAACTCATTATACCTATAATTAAATTAGATCTATTTTTTTATATAAACGATGTAGGCAAATCGCAAGTGAATATTCTAATAATCTTATACCCATTCACATTTTTTTATTCTAAAATAGATTAACCACGTGACTCTAATTGAATCACCCAACGAACTTTGCCTTTTACCAAAATGGAGTTCATTTTCAACATTAATAGTGAATTATCCGTTTAATTTAATTGCAATAATTGCAAGATTGACTAAATAAACACGTTCAGGACGAAATAAAAAACAAAACAAGGACTACCAAAAAAAATATATATAAAAAAAAAATAAAAATATATGAATCGAATCAGTTAGCTTTAATATTGTTGGCCTCAAATTCATAATCCATAAGGCTACATGACAAAAAAAAACAAAAAAAA